CTAAGGAACGGGTGGAAAATGCTTGCGCTGCCAGCTAAGGTTACGCCGACGACGGGGACCTCTGCGGGGGTGGCGGTCATGTGCAGGCAGTTCGTCGGCCTCTTCGAGCCCCCTGGAGGTTGTGAGCTGGTCCCGCATCGTGCTATCGGAGCGTTCGTGAATCTTGGAGGGCAGCAGCCCGTTGCGGTGGTCAGCTGCTACCTCCACGACTGCCAGGGACTCTCGGATAGCAATCAGTTCATTATGTATAAGATTGGCGGTTTCGTTTCCTCCACCCTCAGCGGCTATGTGATCGGAGGCGGTTTTAACATGGAGCCGCAGGTGTTAGGGGAATCCAAATTTGTTGAAACCCTTGAGGCTCAGCTTGTGACCTCGGGGAGCCCGACGTGTACCTCCACGTCCGAGGCTGGGTCGAAAAACAATGAATATTTTATTGTGTCTAGTGGGTTGTCGAAAGGTGTTCGTTCGGTTGGAGTTGACCGCTGTGCCCCCACGCCCCCCATGCCCCTGTCACGATCAAGTTCCACTCACAACTGTATGAGCCCAAGGTGTTGGCGTTCAGGAAGCCCCCTCCCTTGCCGTCTGTCGTGCCTGCGGGGCCCTGCCCGTGTCCGCCGAGCTGGGTGAGAGAGGAAGTGATGGCCGAGTCTGTCCTTTGTGCTGCGCGTGCGGGGGATGAGGACTCGGGGGTCTCGCTGAATATTCTCTATCAGGCGTGGGCGAACAAGGCTGAACGCGAGCTGTGCGGGCTGTACCAGAAGACCCTTCCTAAGATGGGGTGTAGATGGGGAGGTTCCTAAGACTTGGTGGGTGGACATTCAAAAGCGAGACCACCGTCCGTGTAGACACCCCCAGTTGTTTATCATCAAGTGGCTGGCCCATGCCTTCCGTGCGTGGCGCCAGGACAAGCGACCTCATCGTTGCGCCTCGGAGCGAGTGGACGACGGCGTCCACGACCCCTCTGACTGGACGACCTCTCTTCTCCACCCCTCTAAATTCATTTGCGACCACACCTCCTCTGGTCCCCGCGGCCCCTTGCTGTCTGAGGTCCAGTCAGAGATTTCTAATGTTGAGCAGGGCCCTGTACGAGCTGCAGGCCTACAGGAGCGGCTGGACGCCGCGGTTACGGTTGCCTACACTCTCTCGCGCCAGGAGGGAGAGCAGTCGTGGAAGGAATGGCTTCAAAAGGACTTGGACCAGGGGGCGAGATCGGCCCACCTGTGGACGAGACCTGTTGAAGCCTGGGTTCCATCCTCGCCGCTTTCGGCTCTCGGCCAGGTGGTGGCAGACCCTCTTGCACTGCTTCAGGCAGAGGGAAAGCGTTTCTCGGCGCTCTGGCTTGCTGACCCGAGTGTTGATGTTTTTTTTCTGAGACTTGTGATTTCATTCCCTTGGGGCCTTTTGTCCAGGATTACTCCCGAGCAGCTTAGGGCTGCCAGCAAAGAGTACGCGGGTAGATCGGCTGTTTCGGTGGACGGTTTCCACATGCGTCATTTCAACAATCTCTGTGACGGGGCCCTCAGAGTGTTGTATTGCATCCTTGCCGTCTGGGAGGTCATTTCCTCGTTGCCTCTTCAGATTCGCCTTGTTATGCTGGCCATGCCCCCCAAACCCATGGGGGGGCTCCGTCCTATTGGGATATTCACCTCTTTATATAGGATATGGGGGGAAATACGTAGGCAGCATGCGCTGGAGTGGGAGGAGTCCCACATGAGATCGTTCTTCGGTGGCTACGGTTTCAAGAGCGCCTCCGACGCAGTCTGGCGCCAGACCCTTCGCAGTGAGATGTCCACCAGGCGAGGGGACGTCGCTGCCTCGGTACTTTGGGATTTGTATAAGTTCTACGAGCTGATCGAGCTCGAAGCACTCGCGTCCAGATGTATTGAACAAGATGTTCCTAAAGTCATAGCTCAGTTATGTATCAACACCTACAAGGCTATGAGGTTCATCAACATTGCTGGCTATATCGATGGGCCCTACAGGGCCATTAGGGGAGTGATAACTGGATGTAGTATGGCTGCCACGTTTGTTCGCATATAATACAATCGCTCGTTCTCCTCCATTCTTTTCTACCCCTCTACCTCGCTCGACCTCTACATTGACGATATCGGTTTGATTGCCACAGGTAAGTTCAAAGATGTGTTGCGGGGTTTGAAGCACGGCTCGCCTGCAGTATTTAAGGCAGTGGTGGACGAGCTGCATTGTGAAGTTGCCCCCGACAAAGCGGGCGCCATTGCCAGTTGCCCCAAGCTTGGAAGATGTTTGCAGGATTGGCTCGGTAAGTTCGCTGGATCAGGTACCAGTAGCACTGCTGTCAATCTTGGGATCGATGACACTGCTGGCAAGACTCGGAGGTATAGAGGTCGCAGCCCCAAGCAGCGTCGCCGAGCCAAAGTTTTTCAAACCAGAGTTCGCCGTATTGCCCGACAACAGCGTTTCCTGGGAAGGTATGCTACCAAGTTGTTTGTGTCTGGTCCTTTACCTGGGTTGCTTTACGGGTCCGAGGTCCACGGTGTGAGCGACAGAGAGCTGCAGACCATTCGTGTGGCTGCTGGCAAATGTTTAAGGCCGTCCAGCGGGAACAGGTCACTCACGGCCGCCTTGGCGATGGAGAACGATCCCTGCTGGTACGGAGTGTGTGCGTCTATCATTCGGTGGAGCAAGGAGGTTTGGGCAGGTCAGTGTCATTCTTTCCTCTTCCCCATCCCGATGTCCGAGTTGAACCGCGCATGGTCTCTGGTTTTCGAGGAAGGAGCCAAGATCACCAAATGGTCAGAGGTCTCTGGGCCCGTCTCGGCGCTTTATTTATCGCTCAAGAGGCTTAAATGGACCATGCCTAATTTTGCCACCATCAGAGACCATGACGGAAATGATATCCTCCTCACCTTCGTCAGCCCCACCCTCCTCAAAGACCTCGCTCGCAAACAGTGTGTTCGTTTGTTAGAGCGCAGCCTTGCCGAGAAGTGGGAGACGGGATGGGACAGAGTCTGCATGGACATTGTGCGCGCTCAGGCTAGCAGTAAGAAGTATTCGGCACTTGGCCAAGGATGCATTCGTAATCTTGCTTGCAATGGAGTTTGGACCGCAGATCGCGCTGCGAGCCTTGGATATGATTTGCCTGAAGAGCGACTTCTTTGCCCACTCTGTGGCATGGAGCGCGATACTATACATCGCAGGTTGTGGACCTGCTCTGCCTGCCAGGACGAACGGGAGGAGATCGCCAAGGCCTCAATTCGAGATTAAGCGTTGTCCGATCTGTCTGATGGTGATCGCCTCTTGTTCTGTCGTGGAGTTTTCGAGCACCCGTGCGCTGTCTGGCCTGCTCCGCTCGCGTCGGGAGGGACGGGGATCAGATCGGACGGTTTTCCGGAAGGAGAAGACGGGGACATGGCTGGTAAGCTGTTTTTCGATGGCTCGTGTTTCAGGCACCCGATTGCGGACCTCTGTAGAGCGGGCTGGGGCGTGAGCAGGGTCGATGATGCAGGCTGCCTCTTGTCGTCTGTCTTCGGCCCTGTGCATGCTCCGCTGCCTCAGAGCGCGCCTGCAGCTGAATTTGTTGCTCTAGGCATGGCCAGCTTGCAGACAGTCGGTCCAGCAGAAGGGCACTCGGACTGTTCAGCGGTCGTCAAGCATTACCAATTGCCAGCCGTGGAGCGTCTCAGTTATAAGCGAAAATATTCTGGTGTGTTTCAGTACGTGAATACATGCCACAATCTTTCGAGTGTTTCTAAGGTGCGTGCGCACCTAGACCCCGAGGAAGAAGGCATTTCGGATGACGAGCGTGTGCGCAGGCGTGGCAACGGCCATGCAGACACAGCAGCGAAAGCGGGAGCGGCCATGCACCCTCGCCCCGCGAACGCTGTTGACGAAGCACTCTCTCGAATGATTGCGATTTCCAAGACTGTTTGCCGTCTGGCTGCCACGCTGCTTCCGAGATGGCCGCGCCTCGACCTGTCTGAATGCGTGCTGATCAAAAAGCCTAGGACTGAAGGTGGCCTGGCCGAGGGTCCTGTGCATAAATGGAACATGCGTGGCAAGTTTTGGCAGTGTTCTGTCTGTTACGTAGGCTCGAGGGCGAAGGATCTCCCCTTGCCTGGACGTTGCTCTGGGATTCAGTCAGCTGTGCGCACCAATCTGGATGTTGCAGACCAGCTCGGCCACTGTGTAGTCGTTCTCACTTGCTCAGACGGTGTGGATTGCTACCTGTGTACAGTTTGCGGTGCCTTCCTTCACCGAGGCAGGTTCGAGAAGAGCGGACTTTCCTCTGCATGCTTTGGGAGTCTCAAGCGCCACGGGCGCACTAATTACAACAGAGCCCTACGGGGCCGCCACCCGCGAGAGCCTGATCTCAGGGTGGACCCCCTCTCCTCTGATCCTCCTCTTCCTCCCTCGGTGCGGGGCGGCGGGACGGGGTCGGAGCTGGGGGGGGGTGACACTTACGATGAAGCAGGACAGCTCCGTCGTGCGGATACCGCCTCCCGAAGGGAGGGCAGGGCCGCGGGAGCGTCCTCAAGCAGACCTCACTTCTCATCGGGTTCGTCCGATTAGGTCTCTGCTTCCATTGAGCGACGGCTCACTGCTGCGGTTCTCTTTGAACTCACGTCCTGGCTGGAAGCGTCTCTCTCCCACGGGGTATTTATGCTTTAAGCCAGGCGTGCAAAGGCAACACCGTCACTGCAGGAACTCGCCCATCCTGTTTTATTGTTGGGGCAGCGGTGCGTGGATGTCAAAAAAATCCTCCTCCTCCTCGTCCTCCTCGTCCTCGTCCTCCTCCTCCTCCTCCTCCTCCTCGTCCTCGTCCTCGTCCTCGTCCTCCTACTCCAACTCCTACACTCCTACACTCCTACACTCCTACTCAGCTTCCTTTTCCTACTCCCCCGCCCTTCACTCCTTCCTCCCCCCCTCCTCCTCCCTCCCCTCCCTCCTTCTTTCGAGGCTCCGCCCCCCCTCCCTCGACGACGGGCGGCACTCCGCCGGCCGCCCCGCCCCCCCGGAAGCGC